ATTTTAATTAATTAATTTGTACTTTTCATTTTAGATTGGTGTTTACACGAGACACTTTATCTCTCACTTTCAGTGCAAATGTTGAATACGAGGGCCCTAGATAAATACAATCAATTGTAGTATCAAAAATGTTTATTGTGTATATGTATGTGTATATATGTACTTCTTGCACCGTTTCCTATAACCCCCCTTACTCTGGTAAATGATAACACAACTCAGTGCTCTCCCTCCTCTTTTCTCTACCTTCTTGTTCCCCAAGCCCCTGTCTTGCACAAGATACGGATTATGTCTTAGCTGCTCTTTGAAAGGAAAATTGATGTTCATCAGTGTATAGGAGAGGTGTTCTCCTCAATCAACTACATGTTAGCTGGATGACTTTATACAAGACACTTTCCCTCTAAGCCTCAACTTTTTTTTTTTTTTTTAATCTTTTACATGGATGAAGGAGGTATTTTGATGAAGGGAGGTGTTTGATTCCAAGGTCCTTTCCAATTCTAAAATTCATTTCATTTTCTGCCGTCGAGTGGTCATCCTGACTGTGATGTATGATTGGGCCCCCATACTTCCAGCCTTCTCTGGGTTTCTGGTGCGTGCTAACTGTTCCACTGCACTACATGTTAAACCAGCAGGAGTGTCTAGAGAGTTCTTCCAGGTCGCAGCTCTCCTGAGGGGGCTTTGAATTCAAACCACTGTGGAAGTCACCATGTAATCCTGGAGGGAAGCAGTGTTGCTGAGTTCCTATCCTTTACCTGCTTTCTCACCCAACCTCTTCGAGAATTAAATGTGTAACTTGCTTTGTGGCTGAAATTATCACAAAACCTTTTTATTTTAGAATGGTTTTAAATTTACAGAAGAGTGAAGCCAGTACAAAGAGTTCACATATGAACAACACCCAGTTTCCCATATTAACATCTTAACATTGGTTTGGTATATTTATGAAAATTAACAAACCAGTATTGATACATGATTATTAACTAAAGTGTCTAATTTTTTCAGATTTCTTTAGTTTTTACCTACTATCCTTTTTTGGTCCCAGGATCCCATTTAGAATAGCATGTTACATTTGGTTGTCATGTCTCTGTGGACTCTCCTTGGCTGTGACATTTTCTTAGACTTATCTTGTTTTTGATGACCTTGGCAATGTAAGTGTTCCCAGTCAGTCATTTTGTAGAATGTGCTCTGATGGTATTTGTCTGGTATTTTTCTCATGATCCGACTGGGGTTATGGGTTTTTGGGAAGATCATGGAGGTAAGGTGCCATTCTCATCATATCATATCGAGGGTATATATTATCAGCATGATTTATGACTGTTGATAGTAACCTCGATCACCTTGCTGAGGGAGTGTTTTGTTTGTCAGGTTTCTCTGCTGTAAAATTACTCTATCCCCTCCTCTTTTCCTGTCATACTTCATGGAAGGAAGTCACTATGAACAACCAATGGAAGTTCATTTCCTGTTCATGTAACTGTCCAAAGTGGGTATTTCTGATGGCTATAGTCTTTTTCCTATCAGTTATTTAGAGGCCCAGCATTCTTCTATTTTGTTGACATCCCCTAGGGCTTTGTCATCTAAATCCAGCCAGCATTAAGAGAATGTTTGCTTTTAAAAGCCTCGGCCTGAAAATGGCACACATCACTTCCACTTACGTTCCATATGACACTCATTCATCTGCCAAACCTAACTACAAGGGAGGCTAGGACATATGGTCTAGCTGGGTGCCCAGGAAAAAGAGGAAATGGATTTGGGAGAAAAGCTAGCAGCATTTGCCACACCATTTTAGAGTACAAAAGATAACTAACCAAACCCCTGCTACCTCACCATCTAATAATATAGCCATCATTTCATTAAAAAAGAAAAAAAAAGAGAAGAACATTATCTTAGAACCAAGTAGAGTCATATAAATTGGAAAATATCCATTGTTTCTCTGTCTGGAATGCCCTTTCTCTGTTTTTTGTTTTGTTTTGTTTTGTTTTGTTCCATTTGCCTTTTTCTTTTTCCCTTTTAAAATGCCACATACTTTTCAAGTGATGATGAGGTGCCTTCAGCCAACCTTGAGACAGAATTAGTCCCTTTCTCCTTGGTGCCATCATGCCATTCTGCTTCCATCCCTTAACACCTACCCCACACTAGTATTAAATATAAATATGTTTCATGCCTTAGACTAGGTGCTCCATGAGGACAGCATAGGAATCATTCATCTCTTAGATCCCCAAGTATTGTCTGACAAATAAAAAGCATATTTGTTGAGTGCCTCCAGGATTTTAGATGTACCAAAAAGTGGTCTCATTTTTTTAACCCCTTTCTTTAAAATACAACAAAACATGTCCTCTTCCCCTCCTCCCCTTTATAAAAACGATCCACACTTATCATAGCCAAGCCTTCGTGGAGGAAATGATCTTGAGCTGAGCCCAGAAAGGTTGGTAGGGTTTGATAGATGGTAATCAGGATGTAGGCAGGCCTGGTTTCTATGACACATGCTAGGTTCAGGGCATTTGTTCAATAGTCAGGTCTCCTTTGAAACATCTAGAGTGCAAAGCATTTGCTTTCATGATCATCACATAATTAAAACAGACTCCAAGCTTGTTCTGGCGCTGCATTTGGGCAGCCAGGGATGGTATAAAAACCTGATGCTCATTATCTTGAACAGGAGTTACCAACCTGAATTCCCAGGGCCCCAAATGGGGGATAGCGTCACCGTAGCAAAAGAAGTGTTTAATTACAGCTACAGAAAGAGGAGCATTGAAAAAAACAAACTTTTGCTGGCATTAATGTCTCAGCTGTCATATATCTCATTAACAACCAAACCATGACATCTTAAAGTGAACTTATCAAGCTTATTAGTAAGAAAATATCAATTATAAGACAGTTTTCCCTTTCCTTCTATCCTTCTCTATCCTCTACCCTTAACCTGCTGTTTACTTTAATGACTTACAAGCTTAATATTTCACTAAAACAGAAATCAGAAGACGTCTGATTTTCATCATTGAAAAACATACCTTAATTAGGATTTATATTCTTATGGATTTCAAGTCAGACTGTACCCTATATTTATTCATCAAAATTCTCAATAATTCCTAGCATAGGGATTATTTTTCCCTTTATACAGATGTGGCAACTGAACCTCAAATGTCAAGTGACTTCCTCAGGACCACATGGCAGTTTTGGTTCAAAGCTCGGTCTTCTGCTTGCATATATAGATTTATATGTGGCATATTAGTCCCTGCCTGTCAATCAGTTAGCCTCATGGCAGAGGCACACATGTTATTTTTATTCCCCGTGATTATAAAAGTGATCTGCAATTATGATAGCCAAGCTTCCTTGGAGGAGGTGATCTTGAGCTGAGCCCAGAAAAGTTGGTAGGTAGGGTTTGATAGATGGTAAGAGTGATACAGGATATTATTTTACAATGATCTTGGCTAGCTATGTATTCTTCCAATGTGTCTCTAGTATGTCAGACTAGGTGGGCCCATAGAGGCAACACAATGAGCAGGATCCATTCCTTGACTTCTGCCACCACTCAGGGAAGATGATTTTAACGTGCTCCAAGTCAATAGATACTTATAGAAGGGATCTAAAGATATTTCAGTTTAACTTCTACATGGTCCTGATAAGGAAATTAAGGCCCACAAAGTAGATAAATGGAATTTACTTAACACACATATATAACATGCAGTTATCAATCAGAATGCCTAATTTCCAGTTCAGTCCTTTTTTTTTTCATAACCCTGGTTCCTTATTCCCAATTTTCTTGGCATCTTTTCTGCCTCTTAGGATTGCTTTGAGGGAGACATGTTTATATCGGCATTGCCTCATATTCCTGAATGTATGTCATCAAGTCATATGTGAAAAAGTTTAACCACAGACATATGCTGTAAAGAGCAGGTCTATTCCTAGAGAGATAAAAACACTGAATCCTTAACTAGAATTCTTATTTAGAATTAAACATCAATAAATGTGTTTGGTTTAACACACTCTACCTACCATATTGCCTGACAAAAAGATTTGGAGTAAATATTGGTTGAATAAATGGGGGAAGGTAAGAAATTGACTATCAATTGAAATTTTGTGATTGTCCTTTTGAGGGTAGGAAGTTGTTCCTTCAGGGATGCATTATGATGGTCTAATTTTTGCCCAGTACTGTGAAACAGAGACAAAGATGGTAGTGATGTTGTAGAAGATGAATTGTTGCTGGCAGCCAGCACCACAATGAGAGAGCTTTAAATATTTATGTCAGCTGATAATATAAAAATCTAAATGTGGGATACGAAGTTCCACTTGTGGTATTAGTGTGTAGAGAGTTTTTAAAAGCTGAGGACCACTCCTAGTTTGAAATACTTAGAGAAATATTCATGGATCGATTGATTAATTGATGGATTGATTTATACTGGAAAAATGACTGTTGTGCTGGGGCTTCTCTCTGATGAGGTATTTATTGAAGGTTAAGTCTCTTTTCACATACATCTCATGACCATTGGGGTTTTGCTTTTTTCTGTGGTCCTCATACAAGTCATTCTTTCTGGCTAAACTTGAACAGCATTTCAAAACCCAGGAGTTTCTGATGGTTAGTTGACATTGAGCAGAAATAGAAGTCTTCCGGGGCCTAATTTTGACTGCTGGAAGCTTAGGAATTATGGTGGCAGTTTGGTCTAAATAGTGATCCTGGAATGGGACCATTAGCTTAGTGGCATCTTGCAGTCAGACACTAGATTCATGAAGGAGAGAAATAATTCACGTTTTTAACATGCCTCTGTACTTTCCTAATTATAATTAGTTTTATCTATTTATATTTGGTTTACTGCTGTATAGTATTATGGCTTTGCCTCTAGATGGAAAAAGAAGAGAAAGATGTGTTCCTGAAGTGCCCCCTTTCCAAATGCTTATTTCAATATTTAAGCCTTTGGCATTTGTGAGTTTACTTAGAGAATTTTTGGACAATTTGCAAGTGTGTATTTTTATAAACAAAATTAGAATTTGAATAATCATTTCATTTTGTTTTGCAGAACCCCAGCTGAAAGGAATTGTGACAAGGTTATTCAGCCAGCAGGGATATTTCCTGCAGATGCACCCAGATGGTACCATTGACGGGACCAAGGATGAAAATAGTGACTACAGTAAGGAACATTCTCTTCTTGCAATCCCATTATGATCAAATGTATGGCCCAGTATATCTTAGGCTTAAGTTGTGGCCAGGCTACCTTTTGAACTCTTTAACTGATAGTAAGCTGGTGTCTTGTCTTTTATCCCTTTTGCTTATGATTCCCTATAGTAAAGAGACAGTTGGGAGGTTACATAGTAAATGAGAAGGTAGGAGGCTTGAAGGAGTTCCAGATACTCAATGGATAAGAATATCCTCCCATTCCAGGGTTTGTAGTCAATATGGTGATAAGTATTTGTAGGAACAAGGCAGACATTCCAACAGAAGATAGTGTTTTAATCCAAGAACCAAATAGTAAACATGTTACAATATTTCTCGGAACCTCATTTCTGGCAGACCAAAATTACTTCTTAAGGTAAACATTGAATACATACATATGTCTTTTACATGTGATTTCATTTTGGTTGAGGACAAAATTATTGATTTTAAAAGGAAAATATATATTTTTTTATTTTATATTGATTTAAAAAGAAAAATAGTATGATGATGTTTTGGTAATAGCAGGGTAATAAAGACCAGTAGACTTGAAATTTTACTTATAAGTTTTTTAAGTAAAATGCCAGATATTCAAAGTTTGTTAATAATATCCCTGGAATTAGCTTTTAACTAATTTAAGTATAGAGTTAGCAATATATTTGCACTTCAGAAGAATTTTGAATACAAAACTCAGAACACTGAGTTTCAGTGTTCAGATCACTCAGAACAAAGAGTGATCACTTGCATCATACCTTTTAGTTCCTACACAATCATATACAGATATCCAGGGGGAAATTCATGTTACCTTAAAATTATGTGGGGTGCCATGTTGTTTCCTAAAGTTTGTCTGTATTCACTGCTAGATCATTAGTGTTGAGCTCCTAGTAAATACTCTTCAAGTATATGTCCCATGGAGTTATCTTTGACAGATAAAATTTTGTGGTCAGTGTGACAATCTCTCTCTCTCTATATATATATATACACATATATATACATGGAGCTTATATTTTATGGGAAATAACTTCTAAATTAAAATTAAAGATTTGAGGGAAGATCTGCAATTCCTAAAGTGTGAAAACATTCTTGTCCACCCCTTCTAAATCATTCTTTGTTCACTTAATATTACACATTGTAAAATACGAATTACAATAAAGATCTTATTATAAAAAATTGCATCCCAGTTCCCTGCATAGTTGATTAGCCTGTTGTGGTTTGCATTGTTGGCTTGTGTTTGTTTGTAGGAATGCATTCTTTATCTTTTGATTTATTGATTTATTGATTGGAATGCATTCTTTAAATGCTTCATGGTTTCATCTGAGTACAGAAGAATAAGCATGCCTTTCTCTCCGTGTAAGATTTTCATCTGTTGCATCTGTACTTGCGTGTAGATTTAGTGAAGCTACAAGTGTTGATGGGAAGAATCAGAGAGATGGCTTAGTAGTGTCGCCTCTGCTGTCGGGAGTGATCCCTCTATTTTAGTTTCTTTTTCTATAAAATGAGGTGGCTGGAGACAATATGAATGTCTCCTGTCAGCACCATCTCTCCCACTTTTTAAAAAAAGGAAGAATTATCAATTGAGGAGGATAAATTCAATACTCAAGTAAGTTGAATAGCTATGCATGATTCCACACGAAGCAGTCATGACCCGGAAAGCTATCCTGCAGACGTATGACATGTATTATGGGTTTGTGGTGGAAGAGGTCGGGCAAAAATGTGGGTTCAACTGACAAAAATCCTTCCTTCACTGTTTCATAGAAAAATAATTGAGAAGTGCTTTCTCTGCTGATGCTGGGTCAATGTCTGATATAAATGCACATACACACACATGTATACACATGTATACACATATATATGTACAAATATATATGACTATATGTTTATGCATAATGGTATTACGCATAACACACATGTTGAGGGTGATACATTTTGTCAAATACTTTTAGAAACTGAATTTTACATTTAAAATAACTTATTTTTTTAAGATAAACAACTGCACACACTTTTTTGATATATTGGTTTTAAAAATAGTTCAGATATACAAATTGTAAGACTAGGATATATCTACCTGAATACCCAGTCCCTGGAGAAAAATTAGGTAAAAAATATCCATACATTTGAACCCACTCTGTGCTTTCCCTGGTGGAGTCCTGCTTTCCTTCAGTACCAGACATAACAACAAGCCTGAATTTAGCATTGTTTATTTCCATGCAGTTTTAAAAAATACATTTTTCATATATGTATTCTTAAACCATTTATAATACTGTTTTACATGTTTTTAAACTTTTAATAAGAGAGCATTACTATATATATATACTATATATAAGTTCTGTGTACTTTTCCTCCCTAAGGAGGAAAGTGAGCTGCTTATATGGTGATATATTTGCTTATATGGTGATATATTTGCTTTCTGTCATTCACTTTCGTTTTTATAAAGTATCTCTTTACATGAATATACACAAATGAACTCATCCATTCCCTTTTTGGTGGATAATTATCATTTGTACTTTAAGGCAGCACAACTACATTTCTTATAGATGTTGGAAGGATCTTCCCTAACCATCCTTTATAAAATGACACATCTTACCTTGGTCCTCTGTATTCTGATACCCACCTTTTTTTGTATCCATAGCTCTTATAACCAACACACACACACACACACACACACACACACACACACACACACAGTTGCTATTTATTTGTTTATTTTTTATCTCCCTCTTCCTCCCAGGAGAATGTAAGTTCCATAAGGAAAGCAATTTTGTTTTGTTCTTTGACTTATCTTTAGAATGATCTCTAATACATAGTAGGTACTCAGCAAAAATTGAACGAATGAATGAATGTCCCCTTGTGCATATGAACAAAATTTCTCTGAGTCATTGGCTAAAATGCTCCACCCACCAAATATTATTTTAACTTTGCTTTTGAAATAATTTTAGACTTCAGAAAAATTTCAAAATAATACAGCATGTTCCTATATAGTTTTCATCCAGATTCCCCTAATGGTATCATTTTATGTGACAATAGTAAGATTATCAAAACCAAGAAGTTAACACTGGTACAATACTATTAACAGAGCTAGAGACTTAATTCAGATTTTACCAGTTTTTCAATTGACATGCTTTCTTCTGATTCCCCAGCCCCCTCAACACATATTTTCACTGAAAATTTTCCAATGAAACCAAATCATTTTTATTTATGCTTTTTCTTTTAAAGGGTAAAAATATCAGTGGAGGATTTAAATTCTACTCATTTTTTTAAATCAAAAATTATAAGCCTCTAAGATGTGAAAATGACTTTTCTTTCTCTACTTTGTGTGGGCAGGAGTAAAAGCATTTGATTGTTTGAAAAAAAAAAATCTTGTTACTATGAGCATCTGTCAGAATTGTGCTGTTTGGTTCACTAGACATCATTAGGTCCAACCAACCTTACCATGGTATCTTGCATTGAATTGATAAAGACACCTGTTCTTTTGTTCATGAAGAAAAGACTAATTACATGTAATTGAGTACAAAAACAAATGAGTTTGTCAGCAGCAACAGATAAGAATCTCTGCAAATGTAATGATAACAAAAGATACAAAACTGTGTTGGAACACTGGCACAAAAAAGACAATTGCAGTTTGGAGAGTATTAATAGGAATATTTTACATAAAATTAGAAAGGTAATTATTCTGCTCTACTAGTTGCCATAGGAGAAGATGCATTTGAAGAGGTCAAACATACTGGGGTGGAAACAATTAAGATATTATAACCAAATGTATTGTTCTCTTTCCCTCTGAACAAAATATAGGAACAGTGATTTGAGCACAGAATGAGCTGCCTGGTAAATTGGTACAATAGGGAAACTGGAGATATTCAAGCAGATGCTGTACTGACACTTGTAGAGGACTTCACAAGAAAACCTTGTTGGTGTGGGAAGGGGGAATAAGGTGGTGGTGACTGCGGTAGTTTCTAGGCTAGGTGGCTGTTAAGGACTCCTTCAGTACTGAGATTCATTTTTTAAATTTTATGAAGGTTTTTAATTTTAATTCCAGGATAATTAACATCCAATGTTGTATTAGTTTATATCCAATATATCCAATTATTATATTAGGTGTACAATACAGTGATTCGATAATTCTGTTCATTCATTCATTCCTTAGTGTTCATCATGATCAGTGTACTCTTTAATCCCTGTCACCGGTTTCCCCCACCGCACACCTCCCCTCTAGTACCCATCAGTTTGTTCTCTATAGTTAAGCATCAGCTTCTTGGTTTCTCTCTCTCTCTCTCTCTTTTCCCATTTGTTCGTTTGTTTTGTTTATTAAATTCCTCACATGAGTGAAATCACATGGTATTTGTCTTTCTCTAACTTATTTTCCAGCATTATACTTTCTGGGTCCATCCATTTGTTGAAGATGACAAGATTTCATTCTTTTTTACAGCTGAATAATATCCCATTTTATGTATATACCTTATCTTCTTTATCCATTCATCTCCTGATGCACATTTAGTTGTGACGTTTATTCTGCCAGTCTTTGGATTGTTTTTTGAGTTATTTACACTTATGTGTTAACTAGTTGTATATGTGGGATGAGGTGAGCCTGGGGACCTCCTACTCTGCCATCTCCCCCAGGAATCCCAGACCTGATATTCTTTTAGAAATTATTTTGAATAGGTAAGATAAGTATATATATAAAACCATAAATATGCAAAAGGGTACACAATTGAGAAAGAGCAAGACAGTCCCTTCCACCCAGGCCTTGGTGTAGTTCTGTTGAAAATACACAATTTCACAGAACACCAGATCTGATGACATCACTGTGATTATGCTGGATCAAGACAAAAAAACAAGACCACTCTGTAATCATGTCTGAGCACAGACAAAAAGAAGAATGTTGTCCAAACTACAAGATGATCAAATATTTCTCTATCCTGCCTTATATGCATGGCTGCTTACTAATTCAGCAAACACAGCTTTAACTTTGCTCTGCTCTTCTTA